ACCCATGGCGCATCATTAATGGCTAATTTCTCAGCTGGTTGTAAAAATAGATTCTGGTTGGGCAGAGGAATCTTCCCTCTTTCCGTTTCAAAGGATTCCGTTGAGGTTTCCGATATTTCCTCGATCAAAGATTTTGAAACTTTAAACTCTTTTGTAGAAAGACGTTCTCCTTGTTTCTCCTCATCGAGCTCGTAAAGTGCAGAAATGACGTCTTCGGTGGAAAAGTGCTCTTTGATTCCTGTCGCTTGAAATAACCTACGATACTTCGTCGCAAGATTCTGTGGCACTTCATTCAGGTAAGGCTCACCAAATCCCTTCCACGCGAAAGCCAGCCGAGAGGCCGACAGACACTTTCCTTGAACCAGTATCCATCTCTTTTCTTCTAATGCATGTACAATTCGTTCGCCATCTGGTTTCTGAACAAGTTCTTGTAAATAATCGTATATGCAATGGAAGACTTGTTCCAAACTTTCGATCGCATGGGGCGACTGGACCATTGCTTGAACTGCATGCTCCAGCTGGCTAAGAACCTCATGGGCCGATGGTTTACGGGAGCTGAAGCCAAAAAGATGCCGTGTTTTCTTGCTTAACCTACTGCAGCCACTCTCACTTTCATCAAGGATTGGCCGTGAGGACCCTGCGATAAACTTATACCTGTCGCCGTACATTTCTTTCGCTGGAAGGATAACACTGTTCCAATCCGCAGTACCTTTCCATGGCATAACATAATTTGCTGGCTTTGCAAGAGTAGGAAACATACTGATTTCCATTAACTCCTCTCTATTCAATTCTGTAGGGTGGTCCATTTTCTCAAGGTGAACATTTATATACTTGATGAGAAGGGCAGATCTCTTCCTAGCGTCTTGTTCGGCTCTTCTACAGAGCACTGACACAGAGTTTGCTCGCTCAATCAGGGTTTCCCAGTCAAGAATATCTGATAACATTCCCAGGTTCTGAAGCATGAGAAGACGTTCCTTAGTTTGATAACATGACCCAACTGGGAATCTCCTATCGTCTTCTGAGAACAGAGTTGCAGCGGAACCTTTTGGGGATATCAGCTCCTTGGGAAAAGCCAAATGCCCTTTATCTGGCCCACAAGGAATACAACGATTATTTGAAAGCAAATATTCGTATAGATCGAGAAGCTGATTGGACCGATTGCTGGCATGTCGTCGAAGGCATTCATCCATGAGGTGGCACACAATGGGATCCCGAAGCTCTTCGGGTATTGCCGTGA